TGGTGAAATCTGATAGGCAGAATCCAAGTACATATTTGAGGATGAAAGAGCATTGGATAGATGAGATAGTCCTGGGGACTGCTAAGGTGAGGAGGCTTACTCCATCAGTTTTAAGACTTATCATAAAGACAGTTATTAAAATGTCTTCATTTTAAGTTGACAAAAGGAACAAAATTAAGAACCCAGGAAAGGGGACCCACACATATGTGGAAACTTGATATGTGACGGAAGTGGCTTTGCTGTCAATGAGAAGAAGTAGGGCTATTTGGTTACTGATACGAGAACTATTAATGTAGAAAACCGATAGAATTTACAAAAGGAATTTTAACACTTGTACGCTTATACATAACAATGAAGCAAAACCACTTACCCACCACCACGCTTAAAAACAGAACACTATGAAGACTCTTGAAGGCTCTTGTGGCCCCGTCTGATTCCTACCTCATATCACATACAGAAACAAATACCAGATGGATTACAAAACAAAATGGAAAACCAAAACTTTTAGAAGTTAATTTAAAAATGTCTTCATGACTTCTAAATAGGAGAGGATTTCTTTAAAATATCCAAAAAGCACAAACCAGAAAGGAAAAGACTCATAAATTAGACTACATTAAAATTAAACACCCTCCTTTATCAAAGGCACCCCCACTACAAACTGGGGGAAAAAAAGGTGAGAGGAAATATTTGCAACACATATGATGAACAAAGGATTAGAATCCAGAACAAAGAAACCTTAAAAGTCAATATGAAAAAAAAAAAAAAAACCACAATAGAAAAATGGACAGGATGAACAGACATCTCATAAAAGGGGAAACTTAAAAGGTCGATAAATATAGAAAGATGCTAAACCTCAGACCACAGTGAAATAACATTTAGACTCTCCAGTTCAACAAAAAAATTAAAGATCTGGAAATATCAAGAGCTTGTGAGGATACAGAGTACAAAAACTTTTCTATACCACGAACAGGATTGTCAGTAAGTACGAATGCCTTGGAAAACAATTTGGTAGTGCTCAGGAAAAGTGAACACGTGCACAGCCTGTGACTCAGCAACTCTAGTCAGATAACCATCCTGGAGAAACTTGCGCATGTGTGCCCCAGGAGACAGATATAAGAAAGTGAGCAAAACCAGGACACCTGGGTGGCTCAGTTGGTTAGGCCGCTGCCTTCGGCTCAGGTCATGATCCCAGGACCCTGGGATCGAGTCCTGCATCAGGCTCCCTGCTCAGTGGGGAGCCTGCTTCTCTCTCTGCCTCTGCCTGCCACTCTGCCTGCTTGTGCGTGCTCTCTCTCTCTCTCTGACAAATAAATAAAATCTTAAAAAAAAAAAAAAAGAAAAGAAAGTGAAAAAACCCACCGACTGTAATAGCAACCCCCAGAAACTCCCCAAATGTCTCTACCAGAAAAAGATAAGCAAAGTTAGGAAGCACCCTGAGACTGGTGAGTATCCAGGATATTTACCAGGGAAGGTTCAGTGAAGTGGGATTAACACTTGGAGGAGGAAGGGGAAGGAGGAAGGACCACGAAGGGGGAGAAGCTGAGCTACAGCAATGTCAGGTAACTTTGGAATCCCCCAGGGGAGAGGCTCTCACACTGAAATGGATTGTCAAAATTGTCCCGTGTTGAGTCAAAATGGCCAGGCCTTGATACCCCACCTCAGTCCCTAATTAAATGTGAGCCATGCGCAAAATGTCCTGACTCTGGATGAGAAAGTCCTCTGTAGGTGGCAATCCCTGAAGGGGCCGACATCTGAAGCTTATCTCCCTCACAGCACTTGGGACAAGCTCTTCCTTGAAAGGAAGATCTAGGGGTGCCTGGGTGGCTCAGTAGATAGGTGTCTGCCTTTGGCTCAGGTCACGATCCCAGTGTCCTGGGATAGAGCCCCATATCCGGCTCCCTGCTCCGCAGAAAGCCTGCTTCTCCCTCTCCCACTTTCCCTGCTTGTGTTCCTTCTCTCACTGTCTCAATCTCTCTCTCTCTCTCTCTCTGTCAAATAAATAAATAAAATCTTAAACAAAACAAAACAAAAAAAAAAAAGAAAGAAAGAAAGAAAAGAAAAGAAGATCTAAGCATGTCCACCACCATGTGTGATGTATCTCCACACTTTGGAATATGATACATCAGTGATGGTCAGTGACCTATAGCAGTCAATGTGGATATTGAAAAGAAAAAAAGCAAAAAAGAATGCATATAGTGTTCTTCCATTTAAAGTTCACAAACAAGCAAAATGAAATGATATTTTGCATAGGGGGCTATACATACAGGTTAAAACTACAAAGAAGATAAAAATGCAAATGACTGTTACCACTAGGAGAGGAGGGATAGAGAAGTAGGATAAGATCCAGAAACACAAAAGCCTTCAAAAGTCTTGATAATCGTTCTTTTTTTTTTTTAATAGATTTTTTTTGAGAGTGAGAGAGTATGTATGCACAAGTGGAGAGAGGGGCAGAGGGAAAGAACTCAATGAAACTCTGCACTGAGTATGAAGCCCAACGGGAGGCTTGGTATCAGGACCCTGAGATCATGACTTGAGCTGAAATCAAGAGTCAGACACTCAATCAACTGAGCCACCCAGGTGCCCCTGATATTGTTCTATTTTTTAAAGTGAGTGTGTGGTTTTGTTTTTTGTTATTTATAGGGTACGTGTGTTAAAATATTCTTTTTATATATATTTAGTATAATTGTTTTAGTCTTTAAAAGAAATACTTTTTCCACTTATTTCAAGAGAGATTATTTTCCAAAAGTTCAACCCAGAACCAGGAACATTATTTAGTAACCAAATCTGGTCTCCTTACTCTTTAACCCCTAGTTGACTAAAATACTATCCCACAGGCACTGAATATCCATGGCTAACTTAGCCTCACTTCCTGGTCATTTTGCCAGAAATGTCATACTTAGTATTACTTTGCACCAATAAGAAATCTCCAATTGTATTTGTTGATGTAAAAATATTACGGCTTCAAATCAAGATAGCATGTGTGCAGAGAAGAGACATTACAATGGTATAATTACTTATAATTTACATTTGAAAAGCTGAGACTTTGAAAGGAAAATAATTTGCCAAATGTGTGGAGTAATAGCCATGCTAGAAATAAAATAGAATCCCAGATTCCGCTGCAAGTGCTCCAAATTAGAGAAGAGGAATTAACTGGGTTTTTTGGGGCTATCTCCCACTGGTGATCATCGGGAGCTAACAATCCTCTTAGCATAACAGAGCTAATGATCTTGCCAAGGAGTTCTGCAAGGGCAAAATACTACCAGTATTAGAAAAAGCTGGTATTTCTAGTAGGTTTACCTTTTGAGGACCTAAGTTCACCTGTGGTTTAGTGGAATGTCAATATAAGTTTATGCCTCTTCACAAAAAGGCACAGGAAAGCTAAACGCTAGCTGGTTCACACACAGCTTTTTCAATCACAACACACATTGCCGAAACATAAGACTGTGGCATTTCATACTTCACTAGCTTCTCATTTGCAGACACCTGCCATTTAGCTCTACAGTGGGAAAACTCAGGGAAAGGACTACTCTGTGGTGGAAAGGAGGCGTGGAGCTGCCTATTGTATTTTAAAAACTTAAACCTTCAAGACCTCTTCAGGAGACTTGGAATTTTTTCCAAAAAAAAAGCAAAATTTTACTAATAATGACACCTCAGCAAAGTCAAGCCTTGAGCTACACAAACAGGACTCCTTACTTGGAACTAATAACCAACGCACCAAGACAAGGTACCCTACACATAATTCGGCTAAAGCCACAGGATAGTGTGAAGGTATAAGGTAGGGAGAGAAAACGCTCATCACAGTTAAGGGGGAAGAAACTGTAGATATGATGATAAGCCTTCTAAAAACACCCTCCAGCAGTCTACAGTGTTTAAGGAAAAACACACTGAAGTGGATAGCTCCTATGTACAAGGCGGGATCCAGGGTATGACAGCTTTGAAGCTAAATTTAAACCTTGAGGATGAATCATTATTTACAGCAAACTTCTTAAAAAGAAAAAAAAAATATGAGAAATCAGAGTTCCCCTTCTTTAAAGTTTTGATTGATCAGTGCTGGAAAGGCTCAAAAGTCACTTTTGCCTCCCTCACCAAAACCAAAACAAAGGATTTTTGAGACCGATGAAAAGCAAAGCCTCAACTGAGAAGGAAGTATTCTCATTGACCCTGAGGAAGCTGGACAGCAAACCTGACCATGGCTGTCTCACACCCCTCTTTGCTAGCTGGCTCATGTGGTGTGTTATGCTCTGGGTTAGTGGCGATGGGCATGGTGCCTCTTTGAAAAACAGCTCCAGTTCACTGCTCACAGCCTGAAAGCAGACCCCTGCCCTCTCTCACTCACATCTGAAATGGCATGTCCCCTAAATCATGGACAGTGTTCCCACAGAAGCATCTCACAAAAGTGAAGACAGACCGCGCAACTGTTAGGTATCTTTATGGTGGTTTTCTTCGTGGCCATCACTCATCTTTTCTCCTAACGCAACAACTTTCAGGAACCCCCAGTCTTGGTAGAGCCCCTACAGGGGTGGCGAATCCTCCCCAGCAGCTGAGATGTGAATGAAGCATAGAGAAAACCCTGTCCTACTCTTTGAAGCCTTGGGCCAGAGGAAGGAGGTCTTGGCAGCTGCTCCTCCACGCCCTGCCCTGACGAGATGATGCTGAGGTACCACCAGTGTCCCCGGCCTTTCTGTTAAAGGTGGCTGGCTGGGCAACAAGTGAGCCAGAAGCTGGAGGACTCGCTAGAAGAAGCAGCGCAGTACAGCCACGACCATGCCCCAGGCTGCCCCTGACCTTCACCCAGTGGCCGGGCTGAGGGAGGCAAAGCCCAGACTCCAAACAGAGAAGCTCACCCCTTCCGCACCAACCTTCACATGTTGGCAGGGGCGGTGGGCGACCCCCACTCCGGTCGATGCCCCCGACCTCCGCCCGGCCTGGGAGCCGCTGAGCTGAGAACGACTCAGACTCCACCCCTCGCCGGCTCCCACCTGCCCCCACCCCGACCGGACGCGCGCCTCCAGCATCTGGGCCGCCGCCTCGGACCCCGGCGGCCACTGATGCCGCCCGCTGCGACCGCAGCCGCGGGAGCACGTCCTTCCGCAGGTCGAAGTCGGAGACCAGACGGAGAGCCATCGCCCGGACGCGGCCACCGGGCGGCTCGGGCCCCGCGCCGCGGGCATTCCCGGCCCTCCGCGCGCCACCTCGCCCTGCTCCCCCGGCGCCCGCCCCTCCTTCCTCTCCCCCGCCTCCCCGCGCCGGCCGCTTTCGGTTCTGCTGCGGCCGGGCCGGGGGGAACCCGGAGCGCCGCCTCCTCCAGGCCTGCTGCCAGCTGGGCACGCCGGGCTGGGGAGGGGGGGAAGAAGGCTGCGGCGCAGAGCCCAGGACCCGAACCTTCCACGTGCGTCCTTCCGGCGGAGGGCAGTGGAAGGATTTGCTGTTAAGGGGCCGGTGGAGATGTCGCTAAAAGTAGTTTCTAAGCTACAATGGTTTCTAAGCTATGCTGCACGTTAGATGTGGGCGCTAGGCTTAAATCTTTGGGTGCTTCCTCTGTGCAGCAAAGTTGGAAACCACTTGACAAGACAGAGGTATTTTAGCTAGTTCATCTGAGAAGGTGCTAGTTCATCGCAGGGGCAGAAGCCTGCAGCATCTTGGGCTGTTGGACCCAGCTTCAGGGAGATGATATTTAATTAGCAGTATTTAGGTAGCAGCAGGGAGCAAGCCTGTGAAGACGGTTCTATTTTGAGAGATAGGGAGACATTGGAAAGGGTTAACAATCTTGGCACAAACAGGTCCTCTGCCTGTTCAAGAGGTTCCCTTTTTACGAAGGAAATTGTTTAGGATTTTAGGAACTGACTTTTACGAAGCTGAATTGTTTAGGATTCCTGCTGTGTCTAGTCTTTTAAAAGTGTTCTCATTCTTCCACATTGGGCACTTCTCATCCCCACCCCTACCGATAAATCCAGTGTTTTCTTAATTTCGCCGCTCAGCTTTCTTTCCATTCCCATGCACGTACCCTCAGTAAGTTTAATGATTGTTGTGCCAGGTTCAATCCATCGTGAACATCAACGCCAGATGTTCTCCCCCACAAGACAAAGCTATCCTCCTGCTCCTATGCAGAAGACTGGCTGACTGCCCTAGGATAAAGTGCCTACACTTTAACTGACCTTTACCCCCTTTGCACCTAGAACCTCAGCTCCAGACTGAGCTAACTTCCAGAAACCCTCTGATTCCACCCTCCTTTAAAAAAAGGGGGGGGGGGCGCCTGGGTGGCTCAGTGGGTGGTTCAGTGGGTTAAGCCTCTGCCTTCCGCTCAGGTCATGATCTCAGGGTCCTAGGATCGAGCCCCGCATCCGGCTCTCCGCTCATCAGGGAGCCTGCTTCGGCCTCTCTCTTGGCCTGCCTCTCTCCCTAATTGTGATCTCTCTATCAAATAAATAAAATCTTAAAAAAAAAAAAAGACCAGGTCCTTCCAATCTGAATTCACAAAGCCTTCCCACAGCTTCAGCTCACTGCAAACTTCCCAACCCTGAACTCGTAGAGAGATATTGCAAGTATGTTTCATCTGACAGTCATATACTGCCTGGAGACATGAATATTAAATCCAAGTCTTGGCATATCCCTGTGTCCCTTTGCCTCCTACCAAGGGCACCTGAAAAGTGCTCAAGTTATTGAAGAATGAGTCAATACAGTAATAGACTAAAGAAAGCCTTTTCACATGCTTCTCAAAGTTAGGATCTGAAAAGCTGCCTGCGTTGCAATCATCTGGGAAGTTGTTTTTCAATGCAGACTCTCAAGCTCCGGTCTAGACCTGGGCAAGGCCCAGAAACGAACATTTTAGCCAGAGCATCACATGTTTCTTAGGCTTGCTAGGGTTTGAAAGGTAAAAGAAACTACTGATCTTGCCTTAGAGACATGTTTCTCCAATTGAGATAGTGGATGATTTCAGGTGGAACTCCATTACTCACCACCCTTTATGGAGGAAAATCCTCCCACCTGTAAGGTGCATGAAGATTTAGCAGACTTGTTTCATGAGGCTACTAATATTGCTGGTGCACAAAAAGGAGGAAGTCATGGGGAGTTACTACAACAAATGTTTCACATCAAATGAGGCTTGTTGCCTTATTCATGAGGTTTTTACTTGCCTATTTTAAAAATCAGTAAGTTTCTGGGTCTTTTTCCCCCCAGTGTTAACCTCTATTTTTGCCAAGCAAGACTGATACAGTCCTCATATATAGTCCTTATGAAGCCGTGATTATATAAAAATTCTCTTCAAAGTTAAGTAGAAAGGAACATAGAGAACATAATGACCAAGATAGCAGAAAGAGGAGGCCCAAACCATGAAGGCAGTATGTGAATAGCTGAGCTTTGGAGATCATTCGCTAAGGAAGAGACTGGTGAATGGTGACTTACTGGCTTAAAATTGGTGAAGGGTTATAGAAGAAGAGTGCTGGTGGATTATCCTTGAATTCTAGAGAAGACAGGACTGGAGACAGTCATAGCTTCTTTATTTAAAAAGCTCCATCCAAAAGATGGAGGTGTTAACTTGATTGTGGAGATCATTTCACAATGTTTATCAAATCACATTGTACATGTTAAATATGTATAATTTCACTTGCCATTTATATGTCAATAAAGCTGGAAACAAGAAAAGAAAACTGCCTCACAGACTGATTAAGCACTGGAACTGGCTTTGGGTAGAGAATAAATTTTTCTGCTTCTTGGGGATTTTATGTTATTTATTTTTAAAGATTTTTATTTATTTATTTGGAAGAGAGAGAGTTTGAGAGAGAGAGAGATCACAAGCAAGGGGGTAGGGATAGAGGGAGAAGCAGACTCACTGCTGAGCAGAGAGCCTGATGTGGGGCTCGATCCCAGGACCCTGAGCTCACGACCTAAGCCAAAGGCAGGCGCTTAACCGACTGAGCCACCCAGAAGCCCTTCTTGGGGATTTTAGAAATAAACCATCGTCTTCCTTAAAATTGGAGCACAGCACAGAATTGGAGACTCAAAGATCTTATAATCAAGGCCTTTATTTGTAGAATGGTATTGATGCTCAAAAAGGTGAAACGAGTGTCTGGTCTAAAGCAGTAAAGTTAGTTAAGCACAAAGTTGGGCTCTGAACAAGTCTGGTGGTTGTGTTAATTATGTCCACTGAACTGAATGAGAGTACTCTTACCTTACGGTCCGAGCATTTCTAGTTTCCAAAACACCACACCCTGACTTGGGTGGGATTCTGGGGCCATTGTGGGAAATCTTAGAGCTTAGATCATATAGATCATATGGTCTCCTCATGATAGCTTAGGCTCTTTGTAATTTCATCTTGAGTTTCAGAGTTGAAGGAAATGAAAATAAGTGGAAGTGTGGGTTGTGAATCACTTATAAATGAAAATAGTTTCTCGACGAGAGATGTTAAAATGAAAAGTTCTACTCCACTCTCCCAACCAAGACCAGAGGTTGCTATGTAACTTGGCGTTGAAGGAATTAGAAAATGGTCTATTTAACAAATTGAACCCAAAAGTCTAAAACTGCAAAGGACTAAAGATATGTGTTTGAAATCTGTATTCAGTGGAATAGTAAATGTGCTAAAAGAAGGTTTGCTTTTTTGTTGTTTTGTTTTAAAGATTTTATTTACTTAGTCTGAGAGAAAAACAGTGGCAGGCAGAGGGAGAAGCAGGTAGAGGGAGAAGCAGATTCCCTGCTGAGCAAGGAGCCGAATGCGGGACTTGATCCTAGGACTCTAGGATCATGACCTGAGCCGAAGAAGGAAGACCCTTAACCAACTGAGCCACCCAGGCATCCCTAAAAGAATTTTTTCATTAATAAACTCATATGTGTTGAAATTAAGTAAAATTATATCAACTAAAAACCAAATCTTGCATAAGGCTAATCCTTTGCAAGCACAGCTGAGAATTTTTTCATGAAAGTTAATAGAAGTTACCAGAATACCCATTAGAATCTAAATGGAAGTAAGTTTCCTCTGCATGTCACAAGAAATAATCAATTAAGTTTTGCAACTAAGATGCTACAGCACTTGCAATAAGGTGACTTCATATGTAGATATTCAGAAGGCTGCCTCCCTATTTAATTTTTTTTTTAAGATTTTATTTATTTATTTGAGAGAGAGTGAGTGGGAGGGAGAGGGAGAGAAAATCTGAAGTGGACTCTGCACTGAGCACACAGCCCAACGTGGGGCTCGATCCCACCACCTCAAGCTCATGACCTTGAGCTCATGACCCAAGCCTAAACCAAGAGTCAGATGCTTAATCGACTGCGCCATCTAGGTCCCCCTATAGAAATTTATTTTTTTTTTAAATCTTATTTATTTATTTGACAGAGCGAGAAAGCACAAGCAGGCAGAACAGCAGAGGGAGAGAGAGAAGGAGGCTCCCCACTGTGCAGGGAGCCTGATGCGGGGTTCAATCCCAGGCCCCTGAGATCATGTCCTGAGCTGAAGACAGTTGCTTAACCAACTGAGCCACCCAGGCGCCCCTAGAAATTTATCTTTAATAGAAATATTTAAGCATATTTAAGTAAATAAATTTTTAACGTGGTGGTTATTTGCCTCCCTCAAATCCATTTGCCCCCAGTCAGGTGGTAACATTTCCTCTGGCCAACGATTGATTTAGGAATGGGCATGTGCATGGGTCAGGATTAAGTTCACCAGAGGTTAATGAAAACCCAAATTAAAAGGGAATTAAACACACAAGCTTTTCCTATGTAACTGGAGGTGGGCAGTCCATTACTTGTAATGGAAGTCCCTAAAGTCATCAAGGACCCGGGCTTCTTCCAGCTTTTTGTTCCACCAGCCCTTTGAGTACATCCTTATCCTCAGGATCCAAGATGACCATGAAAGCTTCAACCGTTTTGTTTGCTTTCCAGAAATGAGAATGGAAGAGCAGTAGAAGATGCTGCTGCCTCCCTTTTAAGGATACTCCCTGTTCTACATAATATTTTTACTTATATTTAATTGACTAGAACTTAGTCATATAGCTGAATATAGATGCCAGGGAAGCAAGGAAATACATTTTTTTTAGCTGGATAGCCATATGTCCAGATAAAATCAGAACAATATTACTGAAGAAAGAGAAGAGAAGGGATATTCAGAAGTAACTCGAGGTCTCTGTCATGAGCCTGAAACCTAATGCTAGGCATCCTGGGGCTGTAAGGAAGCCTCAGCTATGTTTCTTTCTGGGAAAGATTGATCTATTCCTCAAAAAAGGAGACAT